TATATATATATTATATATATGTATATATGAAAAATATATAAAAAATGCATGTGGGTGCTCAAATGAAAGCTCTTGATGAGTGTAACATCAGGATGAGCTTATATCTTTAAAAATGTCAATATTTAAGAAAGTACAGGGCATTTTAATGATAAGATACGATTCAAATTAAGAGTAGGGATTCAAGGTCGACCGTTCAAAAAATTAAAAATGCAATTTACTAGATAAATTCAACAGACACTACTAAACGAGCTGTAATGGTTTGGATCTACGCCGGAGCGTTTGTATTCGGTTCAATCAGCCCGAAAGCCTACGGCCCAGATTTCCTCATCGAAGAAGACATAGTAGTTGTCATGCCGAACCATCGCCTAGGAGCTCTAGGTTTTCTGACTTTGAACCATGAAAACGCTACTGGAAACGCTGGCCTTAAAGATTTAGTCTTTGTGCTACGTTGGATCCAAGAAAATATTGAAAATTTTGGCGGGGATCCTGGAAGGGTTACAGTTTTCGGTGATAGCTCTGGATCTGCTGCAGTAGGTTACTTAGTACTTTCCGAGTTAGCAACAGGTATGATCACAAAATACATAAGTCATCGAATAGTTCAACCCTTCAACCCTTTTTTTTTTTTTAATTTCTTCCTAGGTCTTTTTCATTCTGCAATTAGCATGAGCGGAGTTCCTTTGAATATCTGGGCATATGAGCCGCCAATAATTGCTCAGCTTCGCGCATTTATGCTAGGATTTTCTTTAGGAATCTTTACTTTTAATAAAAATAATCTTCTGGAAAAACTTCAGAACAAATCTGCTGAAGATATCGTTGGAGCAACTAAATCATTACTACCCGTAAGCGCAACCTGTTTTAAAAATTTTTTGGTATGTCCTGATAACTCAAACTGTCCATTAGGGGTGTGCGAATATCGTTCGAATCGGATCGAATCGAATATTGATATTCGATTCGAAATTCGAACCGAATAATTCGAATTTTCGAATTAATCAACATTCGACGAATAATTCGAAACTTTTCGAATTATTCGTAATTTTTTCGAATTAATCGAATTTTTTCGAATTGTTCGTCGAATTTCGAATAATTCGAAAATTCAAATTATTCGATTCGGAACGAATAATTTGTAAGTTCGAATTATTCGCACACCCCTAATTTTAAACCCTAATCTAGTTAACTCTTGATAAGTCTTGAGATAAGACTTGATAGCATAGCCACGCGGACATGTAAAAATGAAAACTCTAAATTTCTTCCAAGTTACTAATCTAATAACTGTTTGGCCTAGAATTCCTTGTAGAGAATGTGAAAACGATACGATTGATGCATAATAATGATTAAAAATGAACATATCGAAAATTTTAAACCTTACTCTAGTTAACCTTTGATAACTTTTGATAACAATAGCCACGCGGACATCCAAGTTACTAATCTAATCAACTGTTTGACCTAGAATCCTTGTAGAGAATGTGAAAACGAGTCGATTGAT